CGACTGGCCCCGGGGGGTCACGGCTAAGTTGGCCAGTCTGTTGCTCCGCCGGGTTGCTCTTATCAACCACAGACCCCCTCCTATTATACCGGATGTGGTTACGGATACGGGTCATTTATCTATTCCGCGGGGTCACGTCGTGCTCGTTTTAGTAAGTTGTAGTCGCCCCGATTATATTATAACGCAAATGTAGGGGGATAAAAAATAAACCGTGCTACCGACCAACTGAAGATCGAACACTTATCACGCACACACGCACACGTACGCGTGTACAACAACTACTGTGCTATTGGATTTCGGTTTTTTTCCGTTCCGTTTCGTCTGATAGTAAGACGTCTCGCGTGTGCCCGCCCTGCTCGCCGGACGTGATAATTCGCACTATTCGCAGTTTCGTGGTTCCGCTAGCAAGCGGCACGACTACGTTACYTACGCGCACCGCTCGTGACAGCCGCCGTTGATGGTGTTCCGTTCCGTAACTGACAAAGCTAACGTCTGAGACGCACGTCATGGCCGAAGTGGCCAGGAGAAACGAGGCGCCGCCGGGCGATGGGGTGAGACAAATACCTAGCGAATAATGTTCAAATATWTTTTTGTTTCTGACAAATGGATATCGTACGGAAGGCTGCTGTAATTCCGGCTTTTCGTATCGTTTCCAGACGTGCGCAYGGTTTTTGACCATTCGCCGAGTGTACCGCGTGCGGCCAACGCCTTTTAGTCGGTTTCTTGATTTTTCGCATTCGACAGACATCGATGAACTGCATGTCGTCTTGATACATTTGTGCCTTAGTGGTGCCCAYTTATATGATCCTTATTAACTAATTCCGTGTTAGCATTTGTTTATTTGAATTAAAGAGATTAAAAATAATTGACATCGATCTTGTTATTAGGTTCAGGTAACAAAATTATTAAGTTTTTGTTGAATTTTTTATGTGTATTAAATCCTAGATAAATCTTAATCTTATAGATAGAAAATGTTTAAAAAAAAATGATAACATATTAACATTTATATTGATATGATAAAACTGATTTAAATATTAAATATGGTTTGTTAAAATAATATAATTTTCCTAAATAAAATGTCTTATTCACTCGATTTAACTGATTTATTGAATGTACGGTTCGTTATAGTATTGGGTATTAGTTGTTACTCAAAATAGTTTGAATAATCAATAAAATTAAAATTAGGTATTCATAAATCACACTCTTTTTTTTTAATCTCAAACCCATTTAATTTTTTTGGAAAATTTATTTTTCACTGCCGTGTTACTAAAAGCAATATAGGTACTTACATAAACAAATATTCCTAGAAAATGTAGACTGATGGTTTAGGTTTTTCCGGAGAATTTTTTTTTTTTATGCTATCTTTGATTAATTAGGTATTTAACTAAAGATTTATCATTGAATTTCAATTTAACTCATTAGGTCAGCGGTTCCCAAACTTTTAGAATCGCGGAACCCTTAGGAAATAGTTTGTGTTTTGAGGAACCCTAATGTGTCTTTACTTCCAACTCAACCCCATTTTTTCTAAAAAAAAAACAGTACTACAAAAAATGTTTCAGACATCACATACATCTGACGGAACCCTTGAGATAGTCCCACGGAACCCTAGGGTTCCGCGGAACACACTTTGGGAAACGCTGCATTAGGTAATTTTAGGTACAATGATCTACTCAATAGTACATACATACAATAGAATAATTTCTACAGTTTTTTTTTTTATTATTAAATAAAATAATAAGACATTAATTGTGATAGGATATCTATATCTACCAAAAATTGTGAAGTTTWCGGTAGTTTTAACAGATTAAAGTGATGATTGTAAGTATATTTTTACATAAGTACCTTCTTTAATAACYTAGTTAACAGCAAATAATTAAAAATTTAAGGAGTGAGATTTTGAATATTATGGAAGTTAGAGCAACAACAAAAGCTTGAGAWAAATCTTGATTTTTTAAGGAAAGTGGTGATGATGTGTAGAGGTTGATTGGGTGGTGATATTTTTGTTGTGATTTCAGTGTTTGACTGTTTTCTGTTTTGGTTTGAAGTGCAAGTGGTACAGCAGATGTTTGGGTATGCTGAATTTGAACACTCTTTCTGTTATTCCGGTTTTAGATTAAGTGCGGCTTAATATTTTTCTGCAGATTTAGGATCGTTTATAATTGGCAGTGTGGTTTTCACACTTWACACATTTTGCTGGTTCCTCCAGTTTTTTAAGTGCAATRATTGGTGTAGAGATTTGATCAGAATTTCACACATAGCGGTTTGTGGTGGCTTTAGTTGTGAGTGTGTCCCTACTCCATACATTTGACAGTGGTGGTATAAGAAAGGACCAAGTTTTCTCTTTGAGTATTTATTTTGAATTTCACAATCGAGTTTAATWTGTTGGCAATTTTAAATATTTCACGATTATTTAAATATAAAATAGTAAAATTAAGTATTGTATTAAATAAGTTATAGCTCTAATGTTATATGCCTATTWATCCACTAACAACATGTTGGTTATATAGCAAACTTTTTTTCTCTCTATCCCGTGCATAGCATGTAAATTTGTATTCAGCAAAATCAACCTTGTGCTATTTGCTTTAGTATTATAAGATTGATACATTATAATATAGTGTGTTTGTTGCTGATATCCTTTCCATATATTTTTTTCAATTTATGCAAAAAAGWTCATTTTTAAATTTTGCGTGAAAACTATTAGGTACATATTATTACAAAATATTCAGATGTTAGGAATTTTTTATAATTCCCTTTGAATCAACATGTACTATGATTCCTTACAGTAAATTATAAACAATTTAAATTAAGTTAATTTGTAAAATGAAATACTTATGTCTTTTGTTTTGTTTAAGGCTGGTAATGTGGAACCGGCGCAAGGAGAACAGCCACAACCCCAACAAGGGCGGTTTAACATGTTCTTTGGAGTAGTAAAAACATTAATTGTTCGATCATTAGTTATCTACTTCATTACATCAATGTTTAAAAAGTCCTCCAATGTACCTCCTGATGGTGTTACTCCAGTTGCTGATTCCATTCCAAATGTCAATTTTTTTGAGTTTGGTACTAAGTTTGTATGTATTTTTGATAATTATTTATTTAAACATATTTAGTACCTATTAGATATTGAACAATTAAAAATTAAATATTTTTTTCAGGATATGTATGTGTATTTATCAGAAGACAGTGTTAAGAATATGATAAATGAAAATGAACTTATTTGGAAAAAAACAGATTTAGAATATGGAGACTGGTCTTCAGGACCTAATAACGATGGCACTTATACTATTCAAACATCATTCATTCCATCACCRGTAACTAATTCATGATACTTATTGTTTGATACCTATATTAGATTATGTGAATGTAGCTTTTTGTTTTTTAGAGCCTGCAAAATAATGGATCAATTTATTTACATGTATACTTCATTAAAAAGACAAATCCAAATATAAGTAAAAATGACCCTTATGTTGTTTACGCATACAAACAATTAAATAAGTTTAAAAAAGTCAAGTTTTTAAAAACCCATAACTTACTTACTGGTGAAACATCTGCCACTCCAGAACAAATTGAAGTTAGTGAAATAATCTTAAATACTTTTTATCTATTATGTTATTTTTTTTTT